ACAAACATCATCCTGAATGGAGAAAAGCTGAAAGCTTTCCCACTAAAAACGGGTACAAGACAAGGATGTCCACTTTCTCCACTTCTTTTCAATGACAAATACAGTTTGTACAAGTTACAGGATACAAAATTAATATACACAAGCCTATAGCATTTCTATACACAACCAACAGGCAGACGGAGATAGAACTGAAAAAAAGTTATTCCATTTACCATAGCCACAAAAAGTATAACGTACTTAGGGATAAATCTAACCAAAGAAGTTAAAGACCTCCACAGGGAAGTTTCTTCTAGTGTTACCACTGGGGAAACAAAGTCTCTTTGCAGGCAGCAGCAGTTTGTCACGAGAAAAATGTAATTACGTACATGGACCTCTCTCCTGTTCTTGTGGATAGAATGTGGTGACAATACTTCTAAGGAGAACAATATCTCTTTTATCTTTTAAAAAGTACTATAATATTGAGTTTATCATATATATATGTGTATATATGTGTGTGTATATAAACAGTGTGGTGGTTTATCTAAGTATGTATGTGTTATGTAATGATCAAATTACGGAAATAAGTATATTCACCATCTGAAATATGTACATTACTCAAAAATGTCCAAGGAAAGTGTGATTATTGCTATCTTCTCATCCCCAAACAGATGGGTTGTCACTACTTTTCTGATTCTGTGATACAATTTGCCTTTACTACTGTATTTGTTTTTCTCAAACTAGTGTCACCTAAGGCCATTCCAAATGCTTTAGTGATATTCACTGTTGCATCAAGCATTGGGTACCCAAATAAATATTGACAAACAAATCGCTATCTATTTGCAAGAGCTAGAAACTACTACAAGCAACAGAAGAGAACTGGTGTTCAAAATGCAGCTACAAAGTCATTTGAGATATCATGCATTATATTTACCTATCTGTGTAATGCCTTGGCCATATAATGATACACATTGGGACTAGAATTCTATACAGAATCATCTCCATGGGATATGGTCTTCTAACATTATTTTGTTAAATATGAAAAATCTTCATAAACAGATCATAGATTTGCAAAATAGTTTTCTGCCCTTGTTTGATCCTTCTGATTTTGCCTCAAGCATTTTAAATCAACTCAAAGGCTCTCCCATGGGAAATTCTCTTATTCTTTTATATCACAAGCATTTTCACTTATATATGACTTATGGGCAAGAGATTGCATTTACTTAAGAGTACCACTATTGTTAGCAAAAGTAACACTTGTTCACTAGTGTTTATACCTGGTTTATACAGAACATCAATCTTGAGCATTTTCTACTTAAGAGGCCCACTATTGTTAGTAAGCAAAAGTAACACTTGTTCACTAGTGTTTATACCTGGTTTATACAGAACACTAATCTTGGGCATTTTCTTTCTTAACCCTGGAATTCTAACAGTGATATGTCAGAAATTATTTATCTAAGTAGTTATTTAAGTAATAGATTTTTGTTGTTTTCCCACAATTGATTACTCCTTTTTAAATTTTCTTGAGTAAGAGTTGAGCAGTTTTTAGAGAGCAAAAGTAAGCAGCAAAAGGCAGCCTTTTGCTTTTGAAGTTGTAAAGAGATGGCAGAGATAACAGATCACTAGGATCAAACAGAGAAAAGTTAAAATATCTATAGCAGTAATTGTCTACATTTGTAAATGATGTTTATTTTGAAGTGCTGAGGAGGAATGACTGTCACACTAATGTAAATAAGTAGCAGAGTTGATATGTACAGGTTGGCTATTTATAGCAACCTTTTTTTTTAAGAATTATTTTATTTAACTTTATTCATTTGTTTATTTATTTATTTATTTATTTTTTGAGAGAACTTTTTTCCTATAGGGCTCAAGGGCTCACCAGAAAGACAGAGAAAGACAAAGAGACAGAAAGTGAGAAATCACGCCCTAGGGGGAATGGCCACACCACAATCCCTTCTTCTCCATTCTCCTCTTGGGATCTTGAGCACGCACACACACACGCACGGCATGGGTTTAAGCCACCAGGTCCGGGACTCGAACTGCTGTCAAGTCCATGGAAGTCCAGTGACATAGCCATTATACCAACAGCAGGTCCCTATAAGGTCTGGGGGAAGGGAAAAGAAACATGGCGGAAACATTCCCACCAGCAGAACTTTCCTGTTTTCTGCATCTGGCCCACCATTACCAATGGACTCTCTTGCCCTTCAGCATCTGGCACGCCCACTGAAGTTGAACAGGAACAGCGAACTTCATTGAACAGATAAGGACCCGTGGTGACCACTTGTTGGACAACGGTCCTTTATGAACGAGCAGCACCCACCCTGGGTGTGACTCCCTCGGTCTCTGACCAGGCTGAGGCTCAGGAACCTCACCTGAGAGTGCAGAATAAATTATGTTGGTTTTCTTAAACCCCATGCCTTGATTCTGGTATTTTCATCCTTGCCGCCTCTGACTTTGCCGCCACTCCCAAATCAAACCTAACAGTCCCTATTTATTTATTTTAATTTGACCAGAGAGGGACAGAGTGAGAGCGAGCGAGAGCGAGAGAGAGAGAGAGAAATGAGAAAGCAAACAAGATCCGAGACTAAAACTATGGTTAACCATCATGGGAGTTCAGTACTCCCAACCATCACGCCACCTGTTGGCCCCACTGCAACCTTTTGAATTACATCATGTGAAGGATAGTTGGGAGAGAGCTGAAGCAGTGCCCCAGAGAAGCCATGTCTATGCCAATGAATATTATAGTTTGCAAAATAATGACTTTCATTTTTAGAGAGCAATTTCCAAAATGGCAACATTGTTGATGTCAAAGTAGAATCTGATTACCTTTTCTTGGTCTTACTATGATGTCCTGGATTTAAAATGTTATAATTGTGTAATTGAATAGATTGAGCCTGTTTTCTTTTGTAAAT